TATAATTCTTATATTTAAAATATATAATTATACTATTATAAAAGATTTTATGAAATATTAAAATATCTATATAAAAATATTAATTAAACATTAACTAAATATTAATTATTGAGAAAATGAAAAAAGAACGAGCAATGTGTATTTTAAAAATAATATAACATAAATGATAAATACAAATATAAATTACTTACCGCATACCGTCGCTCCATTCGTCGCTTGATGCTTTTCCAAAGTTCTTTTTCCTCTCTCGTTCTTTTGCTGTATCCGCGTAGCACTTACACTTACACTCGCGAAAATATGGTTAATTATGATTAGTCGAATATATGATGAACGCGGAATATTTTGCACGGCGCTCCCAATCGCGGAACAACCGCATGCACAGCGCTTCGATAAACATTTATCATCGCGATACAATTTTGTATCATTTATCAGAAGTTAATTGAACGTTAATTTCGTAATAATCACAGCGAATTATGCTTTAATATTAGTTATGATCTCGTTTAGAGAAAGAATTCGATAATATACGAAGCGTCTCGCACTATTACTTCAGTGTGCGAGTGTCGCCGTGCGAATGATAACAAGGCCGTAACATGTAAACAATAGCGCGCTATACGTCACCAATGCCAAATAATTTGTTATTGATAATACGTTACTATTATATATACGATAATACCGAAATATTTCCCGTCCTATGACGTATATATATACGCGGATTGTTAAATTATATGAATTATAAGTATTTTAAATTATAGATTAATTATTTATTAATCGATAGATGTGTATCACGATCCTTTCGTTAAGTTAGTTACTCGAACCTGCGATTCAATTATTTAATTGTGCGTTTCCAATATTAATCATATTTAAATTGTTGAACAGTCGAACGATAAAAAATACCGGAAGAGATATATTTAACTTTATAATATTTAATTTAAATTCAATTTAAATATAAATTATATTTAATTAAATATTATTAAAGTAATAATTATTGCTCATAAAGAGAGATAGCAACAAAACGATACAATTATTATTACTATTTTGGACTTCTGTTACTATATTTCATACTTGAATAAACGAAATAAAATTTTATTAAAATTAAATAAATAAAATACGTACTTCGAAATTTATCGTTGCGATATAATTAACATATGATTTAACGTATTTAAAAGATAATTAATTATTAATCCTGTCAATCATATCAAATTATTCCCCGATAGTTGACGCGTTTGGAAAAGGAATTTGACGGAGCGTCTCGCATCACTATTTTTCTGTTCGAGTATCGTCGCGTGAATGATAAGTATTGTAGAAAAGGAATTTGTGACGTAGCGTCTCCCACTATTACAGTACTATTCAAGTATTGCCGCGCGAATGATAACAAGGATATAAGATATAAACAATAGAGCGCTAATGTTTACGCCATCAAAGCCGAACACCATGTTATTGATAATAAAACGTTGCCAAAATATTTCACGTCTTATGACGTATATATATACGCGGAATATTAAATTATATGTATAAGTATTTTAAATTATAGATTAATTATTTATTACTTATAGTTTATTATACCGTAAGACAGAGTAACATACAAGAAGTACGATTGTAGCGAATTATATTTTAATACTTGTCGCGATCGCGTTTAGGAAAGGAATTTGACGGAGCGTCTTCTCCACTACAATACTATTCAAGTATCGCCGTGCGAATAATAACAAGGCCGTAACATGTAAACAATAGCGCGCCATTGTTTACGCCGCAAAGCCGCCTACCATATTATTGATAATTCGTAGCCAAAATTATTTTCCGTACTATGACGTATATACAAGCAGAATATTAAATTATACGAGTATTTTAAATTATAGATCAATTATGTAATAAACGATTAATATATCACGAAGCTTATCGTTATGTTAATCAAACCTGCGATTTGACTATTTTATTGCGCGTTCTCAATCCAAATCATATATAAATTATCAACAAATCGAACAATAAAACATCGTAAAATACAATTGAATTTTAAGTATCTTTAAAGAAATAATTATTGCTTATAAAAAGAGATAGCAACAAAACGATAATTATTAGTATTGCTTTGGACTTCTGTCACTATGTTTCATACTTGAATAAATAAAATAAAATTTTATTAAAATTAAATAAATAAAATACGCGCTTCGAAATTTATCGTTGCGATATAATTAACATATAATTTAACATATTTAAAAAATGATTAATTATTAATCATATTAATCATATTAATTTATTCCCCGATAGTTCACCCCATCGCGTGTGGAAAAGGAATTTGGCGGAACGTCTCTCACATCACTACTTTTCTGTTCGACTGTCGTCGCGTGAATAATAATAAGTATAAATATTGTAAGAAAGGAATTTGTGACGTAGCAGCTTATCGGAGCTTATCGTTATGTTAATTACTCGGCGATTTGACTATTTAAAGTAAAAGTAAAAAGTTAAAGAGTTAAAATAAAAGATAATTAATATTTATTATATCAAATTATTTTCTGATTCTTGTCGCGATCGCATTTAGAAAAGAAATTTGACGGAGTATCTCGCGCTTTACTATCTTACTGTTCGATTGTCGTGTGAATGATAAGATACTATGATGTATATACAAGCGGAATATTATATTATACAAGTATTTTAAATTATAGATCGATTATTTAATAAACGATTAATATATCACGGAGCTTATCGTTATGTTAATTGTTCGGATCTGTGATTTAACTATTTCATTGCGCGTTCTCAATCCGAATCTTATTTAGATCGTCGAAAAGTCGAACGAAAAAATATCGGACAAAATATATTTAATTTTAAATATTTTTAAATAATTGTTGCCTAGAAAGTAAAAGAAAGAGAAAGAATTAATTATTAATTATATCAAATTATTTTCCGATACTCGTCGCGATCGCGTTTAGAAAAGGAATTTGACGAAGTATCTCGCACTACTATATTACTGTTCGAGTGTCACCGTGCGAATGATAAAGCCGTAAGCCGTAAGTCGTAAAACGTAAACAATAGCGCGCTAATGTTTACGCCGCCAAGGCCGACTACCATGATCAAGCGACGCGGTAGCGTCGCGACGCCAAGTATATATAAAAATTCGTTCCAGCTTGTCAACGGTTTGCCTATGTACAGGGGCCGCGACGCTCCAAGTAGCTTATCCGGAGTTTTACGTCTAATAAACTTTCGATTAAAATTCCTCAGGAACCAAGTCGTTAATCAAAAATCTAACGGCACTTTTCTTATACAATGTGGATGCAAGCTTTCGATTGCGACCAGTTTGAATAAGATTGGTGCAGTCAATCCTGAGGAATGATAATCGTATACCAGAAATGTGACATTTTTCGTTTTCCATCATTATCATTATCATAAGGTTCAGTTTCAGACTCTCACGTACGTATGCTGGCACTCACACACGCAAAACGATTTTGTCCCTCAAGGCGCGTTCATATCGCTCATGTACGATAATTCTTTCGTGTATCTCTTTTATAAAATTATAATTTTAAAAATTTATAATAAAAGAGAGAGAGAGAGAGAGAGAGGGAGGGAGGGAGAGAGAGCGAGAGAGGGAGCGGGAGAGGGGGGAGCGGGAGGGAAAAGCGGCAGAGAGAGAGAAAGCGAAAATATGTGTATATGCACACCCCATTACACCACATGATCATACCGCCAAATAAGTAATACTGGGATCTTAATATTTTCGATGATTTTTAAACTCAAATTTATGATTTTGCGATTAATGACTGATATCTTGCTTAGATGTCGATCCTATTTATATAAGAGATCTATATATGACTATTTTCACCGCGCTATTTTAAAATACTAAAGAAATTTATTATTTATAAGCACTGAAAATAATGTGTGAATGATAGCATAAGTATACATATTAACTTCTGACATAGCAAATGTAATTTACAATTATTTACATGAGAAAGAAACGTTCTTAATTTTTTTGCGATACTATCTGCTGGCTTGTGTCTTATAAATATTTATAACATGTAAGTTAAAAGAGACAATTCTATAGCATTTATCTAACAAAATTAACATTATTGTAATTTTGATGAGAAAGAACAATAGTTACGCAATTGTCTATTATGGAAAAAATATAATGCATTATTTATAGGTATTTGCAATCTTTCAATGTGAATGTGTGGTCAAAGATCCTCTCTCCTGTATCATATTAACCCTTTCATCATCGACTGAAGTCAACGGAAGCGCGTTAATTATAGTCAATTGTACTATGTCAAATAGATCTTGCTCTGTTCAAATAGATCTTGCTCAATTATAGATTCAAATTTTTAGAAAAAACATGTAGAATTGATTATTTAAAAATATCGTATTTTATAGTTGCCTATTTTCAGTGATGTCACCTGATTATCTTCTGTGTGTTGTTTTGTATCAATAGTACAGTAACTTTAGACAAAAATCGAGCAAAAGCTTGGAAAAAATGTTAGCCAGCTAAATTTTGGCACAGACCTTCGTTTTTGCATAATATTGAAGGGGAAAAAAAGTTTACCATTGTACAGTGGCCGCTAAGAAAAATAATTAAACAAATAGGGCTTACATTCCGTTTTTCTGCAAATATCTCGTTAAATATCAATTTTACAAAAAAAACACAGGAGTAGAAAATTAAAGAGTGGACAATTTTGCACAAGAAATATTCTATAAGTTTTTTCGAACGAGCAATACTTTTCACGTAAGAATTTATGCAAGATATACGATTTTCGGTGAATTTACGGAGCGCGCCGACAGACGTTACGTGGATTGAAGCGTCACACGCGCGCACAGAAAGTGTCATAACTTTTGAATGAATCATCGTACAGAAATGAGCAAAGAATCGTTGAAAAGCTGAAGGTTTCAGCTTTTTAATGCAATCTGTTTAGTTATTGTACGACAATTTTTTAAAATTCTACGATGGTTTAAACAAAATGTTACATGTCATTTTTGCCTTCTTTCATAAAATCAGCTACAAGTAGCTTCCAAACCGTTAAAAAAAAACGCCTGCAGGATATTACAGTATATACTTCATACTTTGACCCTACAAAAGGAAAAAAATTAGAAAATTTTTTTTCTTTAAAATCAAGCTACTGACATTTTCAGTAATATTCAAAATTTTTGATGAAACGTTAAAATTGAAATCGTTATAAATTTGCAAAAAATTGCGCTAGAAAAGTTTTTAAAAAAGCAATTGAAAGCTTGGAATGTCTACTTTTAGGTTTCACATTCCTATATTCCGTCAAACTGAATTGCTTCTAAGTACTTGGCTAGTTAACTATTGATTTCATATTTAGTTTTTATTTCTTATTATTTAGAAAAAATATTTTATAAATTATTTTTTAGATATATACTTGGCTTATTTTTTTTTACCTTTGTGAGGTTTTTTTTAGTGGGATATGTATTTTGAATTTCGAATATGATCTACGAACGTTTTCATGCACACCGTGCAACCACCTAAAATTTGGAGCAACTCTGCAAATATTCCCACAACTTTAAAAAAAAAAATTTGTTTAAGCTGGGAATTTTTATTTATGTAGTCAATAATATTGTATTAATATTGTAAAAAATTACAAATTTTTATCAAGTCGTTGCTATATATATATATATATATATATATATCCATATATAAGTATTAATTATTCCTATGTACATTTTTAATATATAAACACAGCACCACTTTTGATTTAATTCATATCACATTTAAATTACCATCATCAATGATATATATGTATCTATAGAATACATAAAAATAAAACACATCGAATAAGTTGTAATTATTCATATATATAATTTATTCATACTAATAATATTTATGTATGCACTGACAAATATTTGCATATTAATAAATAATAAATTATATCAGGACTAACACTTTTTAAATTTATGGTATTATTTTAATAATAACAATTATATCAATAATGTGCAAATACAATGTGTGCAAATACAAATTGTTAAAATTGGCAGTGCATAATATACACTTAATTATTTTGTTTTTTCTTAGATTTATTCAAATACTTGAATTATCTAAATAGAAGATAAGGTGCATCTCTGTATCCTTTCTTAACATATAATATGAACCTAAGAGAAATGTTACTGAGTTATTATATATTTTTTTAGATAAATATAAATTATACATTTATATTTTTGTATAATAAATTATACATATACATAATATTTCATAATATTTCATATTAATACCTTGCAAGTGTCGATATTTTAATTCTCCAATACTTAAGGAAAGATAAGTCTGTGAACATTTTAATGGTATAGCAAGGTATATGTTTGTAAGGTACACTCCTTGGACTAAAATGGAATTTGTTAAAATCTTTAATATTGTGATCATCCCTGCAATTCAACAACGCTTCCACAGCAGATTCTTCCACCTAGAAATAAATTTTCTATTATGAGTGCACACATAATAATTATCCTATATTCAATTATAAAATGTATTATAACAAATATACACCTTCATGTGATACATCATTATCTCGTTGCTAAGCTTATTTCGAGCTTGAGCATCCTGCATCTTTTTATAAACAATACTATGCATTATTGATATACCACAATAAATGCTAAACGCTGTCGCAATCTGTTCGTCAAAGGCATCAAAATATAAGCCGTTTATTTTATTACACAGTTGAGCCACTCCTAAAATATAAGAATCTTATATAATATACTTATAATTTTCATATTTTTATTATAATTTGCAATACTTCTGCGCAACAAATTTAGTATACGTCTAATTTACCAACAATGCCTTTCTCATCCCGTATTGGAAAGCACAAGATATTTCTAGTCTTAAATCCTGTTGCCTCGTCAATACCACGATAAAAGAGGGGATGATTATACGCGTCTCGGATATTAAGTAATTTACCAGTAGTTGCAACATGACCAGCTATACCTTGCCCGATGGGGATTCTCATTTCATTTACATTCTGGAAAACAAATTGTTTATATAGAATATTGACGTTTTCTCAATCATAGTGTATGAAACTAACTATATTTACTTCGTTCGTGCTAATGCCATCAAATACTTTTGCAACTAGATCCTCTTGATCAGGGTCCAAAAGAAATAAGGAACATCTCTCTGCATTTGTCAATTTTCTGACTTCTGCCATAATCTCACGCAAGAGATCAGAGAAATCTCCTATAAATTTAAATTAAAAGGTAAATAAAAAATATGTAGATTGTATATTTAGGAAATTAATTATCATACCTAAATGTGTGAAGAGCTTCCTAGAAACAGCTAATAAGTTTTGACATTGTTGTTTTACACGAGTCTCTTCATAACAATGTAATGAACTAAGCAAATATCCGAGACTAAATCTGCAGGATTTCATTTTGAATACATTAGATATTTCCATTAACAATTGTGATGAGCTATAAATTCCTTCTACAATACCTAAAGCATTCTTGAACTATTTCTGTACAAGCATGCCTAGCTTCATCTCCATCCGTATAATCTACCAGGCACACAAGCAAAACTGTATAATGTTTAAAAGGATGTTGTATTGGGATTATTAAGAGGGACTGTAGTGTTGCATCTGTTATTCTATTAATATATCTTAATAACTCTTCATCAAGTTTTGCAACACTCAAAACTAATGATGTTTTATTTATCACAGCCTCGTATAAAACATTGTTTGTCATCTGCAAAACAAATTTTCTTTTTCCATATTCACAAAAAATATATATCGAATAAAAAATGTATATTATTAAAATTATTATTTTTACAAATATCATACATAATAAGATGTTTTAATATTAGAAATATCAAATATAAAATAACTTAAAACGATAATATTTATCTTATAAGTAAACATCTCATTATTAAAATTATAAAAAATCGATTTATAATCTTATTAAAAGTACCTGCAAGCAATTTCAAGTACTAAATAAATTTAATAATTGGCTATGATAACAATGAAATGTGGCTATGATACATAACAAGTAACAAATGTGTTTCTAAATGCTATACATACAAATTATTAATAGAAAAAAAAATATTTTCTCTATTCCCTATTATTAGAGGATACTTCTATGATTACTTGATTGAAATTGTTTGAATACTTTCTTAATATCCATTATTTTTGTAGAAACTTTTGCAGGAGAAACTTACAAGAAATCTCAATTCTCTGTCCAGAATTTCTTCGCCAATCACATGAATAATCATTTCCTCAGACTCTACCAGTATTGATATGAGAAAGACCAATTTTGCATTTGTTGCATTCTGCACCTAAAAGAAAACAAAATTAAATTAATAAGGAATAAATACGAGAAATTATATACAATCGTAAATTGAATTGCACATATACACATAAAAAAAAAATTGCCCGCTTATTATAGTCGTCTAGCAGACGACTATGATCATTCACGATGCGTTACTATTGGTCAATCAGCGCGAAAACTCGTATCGTGTCGATCATTCAAAGATCGCAATTGCTTAAATTTAGATATATATCTTTAAAAAAAGAAAAATTACATCAATATGTAAAATTGATTTTTATGTAGTATAAAATGCAAAAAATCTGTCATATCTATTGCATAATATTATGAAAAATGAAATATTTTTGTTATCATTCTGTACCAAGATTCTTAAACGTAAAATTCAAGTTGAATATCATTAAATCTTGATTTTTTCTGTCAAATATTATTTTATGCATCATTCTTTGCTTTCTCTGCATTCATTAGAATTTTCCATGGAACATTGACTTCCTTGAGCAAACGTTTTAAGTACTTCATCTTCAAAGTTGGGATCAAGCAAAATATCTATTCCTTTTGTTCCACACATGGAATATTTTTGGAAAACGGTCTTAGCCACTTCCCATAATGAAAGATTGTGTTCTAATATATGAACCAGAGGCTGTGCCGACGGGAATAATAATGACAGATTACTAGAAAATGAAATAATATAATGAAAACAAAATATATAATATTGGAAGAAACATATTATTGAATATACTCACGTAAAGAGAGGAATGACTAGATTAGTAATGAATTGTATTTGGAGATCGGGAATGGATGCACGTTCTCTGTCCATCATTTCCACAGGTGCGTTGCCCATGCTCTTTTCTAAATCTCCTTGCGAAAAGAATTCATCAAATATCTGTTCCTGATGTAGAAAATTATAATTTATTTGTGGGCTACGGATCTATAAAAGATTCAGACATTAATGAACAAGCAATATTTACCGCTGTTTTCTTTGAAACTTTCCAATCTTTGGTTTGATCGCTAAGATCACAACAAGTCATAAGCATTTCAAATAACAACTTTTGTTGTTTTGGATCATCTTTGTTATATTTATTGCATATCATTTCCTGCTTATTTATGCTACGAAAATGGGAAGCTAAATCAGTTGCAAGTATATTGCTCCTCAACAAATCCAAGGCTTTACTGTAGTCGTCACTATCCAAACTTTCAAATATATTGCATCCTTCAGTGTTTAAAATACACATTGTTTGCGCGAGATGATGTCTCTATTAAAAAGAAGAAATAAATATATTTTTAGTTTAAACTAAATTTAACTCAACATTATGTATATATACATATATACGATATCCTGTTTTACCTCCATAACAGAACCCTCTGAGCTATAAAGACTTGCCAATACAGTACCACACAGAGTTTGAAATGAGTTATTAGTTCCTCTATGATCTATGTCATGACATAAGCATGATACAAAAAACACCAGAGCCTGCAGAGGTGTCATATAATGTTCCTCAATAAGTTGCATATTTTTTATCAGCAGATATGCAAAATGTGCCACAGAAAATGCATGTGTCCAATTATGATAAGGTGCATCTCTGTATCCTTTCTTAACATATAATATGAACCTAAGAGAAATGTTACTGAGTTATTATATTTATATATATATATATATAAACGACGCAATTATAAATACGTACATATTTGTTCAGCCGTCGTTGCACCTCCGTATATGGTAGATCGCATAGTTCCTCGATTAGCGAGAGAATCTTTGCCGGATCGGCAATCAAGTTGCAGCTCATTTCGAGGAATTGGATCTAATCGAGTACACATTCGAAAATCTCTCGTGATCATTTCAAAAAGAGACATGACTCGGCGGGGATCGAACGATCGGAGAAGAATCCCTCGACGTTGATAATCTCGCCATGATTTTCCGCGTAAATTAACATTAATTGATCAGGTCTATAAAGTTAATTATGTATATTCACACAACCGGCACAGGCGTCACGAGCATCTATCCACGAATTCGATTAAAATGCGTCGAGCACGACCGCACTACGTTTTTGATTGTGTGTCTATTGATAAACAGGAATCGCGCGCGACTATATCGAAAGAGATTTTCTTTTCTTTTTGCATTAAAAATAAATTTGAGTATGTTCGAAAGAGAAAATTCTCCGCGCTCTCTGATTGGAACGCGATCTAGGGATAAATCTTTAGAAAGATATTTGGGTTCAGAAATACATCGTCCGGCTGACAAAAGAACTGCCATTGATGTGTCTTGGAACGCGGGATAAGAAGAAATTGGAGTTGTTAGATTGGCAACATTTTTAAATTGTTTCAAACAGTTTGTGTGGGAGAATGTTAAATTGTTGACAATAGTTGAAGCGCGACAAATATATTCTTTAGGATGTTTCTTTGACAAATAATGTGTGTCTATTAAAATTTAATTTAAACGGATTAATTATTTTGGTGAAAAAAAGATATTGGAAGATCAAAATGAGAATTTGTTGAGTGATTATTGATTTATTAACATGTCGTTTATTACAACGCACATATTCTTATTTATAATGTCATTTAACAATATGACTTGTATATCATTTAGTGATAATTAATGATAAAATATATATAATGTAATAAATTTCTGTAATTATAACGATGGAGACACATAAGGTTATGTTGGTTTTAATGAAAATGATAAAATTTGGAGTTCTCTTGTAATAATTAAGGTGTAATTTGTGCGAATCATTTAGTCAATTATATATTTTATAAGAATGAATGGAGAGGCAGAATATAATGTTGCCACTAGGTACCGAACAGTTAGAAAACATCTGGATAACTTGGGGTACAAGCAAGCACTGTCAATAGATGCTTTACCTCTGATAGAAACTTTACTGTCTGATCTGATACAAACTACAGACAGTCTTAAACATTTTAAAGCCATTGCTCAGGAGAATATTGAGGTACATTGAAACAAAATAGTATTGCTCCAACTTTACAAGAATACTCATAGTAATTTATGAAAAAAGTTGAATACACATATAGAGTTTTATTATCTAACTTCAAAGATTAATCTTTCAAGCAACTTCAAATAAAGAATCAGTTTTAATGATAAAAACAATAAAATTCACATATAATCTAATGTGATGATATTGCATGGTATGTGCAGGCACATAGTCAGTTGCAATTGACAGTTGATCCCTACAAATGTGATAATGCAAGATTAGTGCGAGAATGTAACCAGCTTCACTCGGATCTGATAGAGGCTAAAGAAGCACATCAGAAACAAATCAAGGATCTTAAAAAGCAAATATATAAGTTAGAATGTGAATGCAATGATTTACAATTGGCATCTTCACATAACATACATAAGATAAAAGAGTTGGAGACAGAGTCGGCTGCCAAATCTAAGAAGATATTAGAACTTCAAGGCAAATGTTTAAAGCCATCTATCATTAATGTGGGATTTTGTAAGTTTTTATTGTTTTATTAATTTTTATTATTTTATTACAAATATCAGCAAAACATATGACACACACTAGTTAATATTTAAATGATGATATACTTTTAAAATTTTTATAGCTGCTAAGAAGCGTCCTTGCTTTCCTCTTAGAAGACCTGTCTTAGAAACTGAGCCAATGCCAAGGGCAAAGCGCAGTGGCTCATTGCCAAAATTAAGCAGCGTCGAACCTAAGATAATAGATATAATAAGCATGGCGGATCATAAGATGAACTGTTTGAATCAGGAGGTAACAAAATTACGAGGAGAGCTTTTATTGCAAACAGATACTATAGAGATCCTTGAAAAACAGGTATACTAAGCACCAGTATTTCTGCATGCATTATTTTTAAACATTTCTTCCAGGAAAAAATGGAAACTTTGTGTACGATAATAGTCATTTATATCTTGCATGCTAAGAATCATTGATGCATGGTGATAATATCTTTAATGAAGCAAGTCTTGTTCATTAACACATTATTATAGAATAAAATATCATTTATAGCTAGCTACGAAAGAAAAAGAAATAATTCGACTAAGAAAAATGTTGGAAGGTGGACGTTCCTATGCTGCAGTTAGCAAGGATTGCACTTGCAAGAAGATGGAAAAAAAGATTGGTGCTGCCAATGATGTTACAGAAAATAGTGAAGTGAAGATCCTTCAACATGCTAAACAAGAGTTAGAACAACGGCTAAAAGGTAGGATACTTATTAAAGTAGATATTTAAAATTATTAGAATTAGTAGATATTTTAGAATTATTAAAGTAGATAAATTTTTACAATGCAGACTTTTTTAATTTGACTAATTTTATGAAAACAATTGATGTATATTCTGTATATTATTTTCTTTAATGCAGAATCTCTAAATAAACAGCATGACGCAATGTCTCAGGCAATGAAACTAGCAAGACGAAATGAGGAATTAGAAAAAGAATTGAGAGATATAGATCATGTTGCATTAGCTGTAGAGGCCGATTGCAATTCTGCGGTTAAAGAAAATAATAGGAGAGTTTGTAGACTTCAGGTATGTTTGACTTTGTGTATGTTTCCAAGACAATTTTTTTTTATTTTCCCTTATATGCTTGTTTAGGAGAAGTTAGAAGATGTCATGAAACAGCTGCATGTCTTAGAACATGAGTTAATTGTAGAACGTAGAGAGGTGCAGGAATTGAGAGCAGATCTAGAATCTTGCAGACTTGAGAAACGTAACGTCCAATGCACGCTAGAATCTACATTAGATGAAAAGAAGAAACTGTCTGATAAGATCAATCAACTAGCAATCATTGGTATGATATCGCTAAATTATTCAACTTTGATATCTCTTTTTTTTTAATATCCTGTATTATTTTTGCCGAGAATAAAAGTTTAAAATATAATATTGCAGAAAAAAATTTAAAGGATGAGATGGAAAGACTGACTAAAGAAAACGAATACCAAAGACAAGGTATTAATCAAATACAAAAATTATTTTTGAAAAACGCAATCATATTATATGGAAATTTCGTGCAAAAAAATAATACATTAAAAAACTTGTTTTATCTTTTGTTTTAGCATTCAAGAAAAATGAAAGATATACTGTAGATCATCAGGGAATAGTTAAAGATGGAGAAATTATAAAAAATACAGACAATTTTGACATGCAAAGATTGATTGATGAAGCAGATTTGAAAATTATGTCTGTAAGATAAAGTAGTTTATTTAAATATCAACCAATCTTATTAAGAATATAATATTAAAAAAATGGCATTTGTTTTCTTTTCTTCATAGTTGCAACAGTCAATCCAGCGATTGGAGGCAGAACGAGATCATTACAAAAAAGAATACATTAATTATCGAGATGAGCAATACAGAGTATCTGATAAAGATAATGTAATAATTAAATCTGAAAGAAATATTACACGAGTATGTTTATAAGAAATAGTAATTTTATTATTTTATAACAAATTGCATAGGCTGATTTATGGACACGAATATGTGAATTGAAACGCGAATTAAGTGATATGGAACAAACTTTAAGCAAAGCGCAACGAGAGAAAGAAGAGCTGTATTACCAAAAAGAGGATTTGGAAGCACGACTGAAAACTTATAAGGATAATCAGAGACAGGCATGTATCCCTTGTAGATCGTGCAAACCTGTTCATACTTGTACCTGTATGTCGGATTCGTCGATATCCGGAAATATCAGCGCAACAAAGGTATTTACGGTTTATAGTAAAATATAAATATGTTTGATTTGCAATTTGAACATTCCAATTTGAATATTACGTAGACAATGCTCGAACGTTTGGAACGAGAGCGGGATACAGCTAAAGCAGATGTTGAGCGACTCATAGACGAACGTGATGCATTGCGGGAGAGACTTAAGGTATAGCGCAGAGATCGAAATTAAACTGTTTAAATATTATCCCAGTCCTTGTTGGTTTCCCTGAAATTTTAATTTTAATAACTAAATTAATAACATAATCTTAACATTTTCTATTCCATTTCACTAATTATAATAGAACAATTAATATACTAATTATATGTATGATTACTATAATTAATAGTGATTTATTACTAATTGTTTACTAATACTTTCCGTGTGTGGTTGCGGCAATACATGTGTTGCGGATGCATGACTGGATAATATAGATGATGTCGGAAGCGCACACAAGTGAACAGCTTCGCCTCAAAGAGAGTTTAGTCGAGGCGGAGACGCGGTTGAAACATACAGAGAAAGAACGACAAGATCTGTTGGTCACTCAGGGTACGAGGAGGGCGACGATAAACGATCTCGAGGATCAGTTGGGCGACGTGCAAGAGGAACTACGCCGTACGAAGCAAGAATTAATGGCGCAACGGACGCAATATTTCCAACTACGGTAATATATCAAATCTTTTTTTTTTTTTTTTAATAGAATGTAATCTTTTAAATCTTCCATCGCAGAACACTGCAAGATCAAACGGATCAAACACTCGGAGACGTGCAAGGTCAATTGTCGCAGACAGAATCGGAATTGAACAAGGCTATGGACCGCAATAAAGGTATGGAGCAACAACAGGCGCAATTGAATGATCAAATCAAGGAGCTGAAACAAGAAATTAATAATCTGCGCGCAAACATGACACTTTTGGATCAAGAGAAGGATCGACTATTGGTAAATGATAGTGCAGGAAATTACATCGCTATTTCACAAATGATGATTTATAAAATCGATTATTTCTTTTTTTGCAGATGGCATTGGACGAAAAAACAGAGAAGATTGCTGCATTAGAACGAGAATTGGTATATAAGGACCAAGAAGCAGATGGGATACAACAACAAATTCGCGATTTACAGCATAAAAATGAGTAAGTACATCTGCGTTTATTTACAACATTAATTCTTAGAAAAAAAGTGGCACATGTTTCTCGAGAAACTCTAAGTTTTAAGTCACGAAACCGTAGATAGTATTTACAATGCTTAAGGTATAAAACATAATAAATAAAGCTTCGTTCGATATAAAACGAGATAAAACTAAAAAAATAATTAATCATATAACATTATGTACAAAACTAAATCCAACGTTATTCTTTCGACTGAAATGTTTGAACGCATTCCACACGTTCTTTGCTAGGTAAAAAAATAAATTTATCTCGTGGAATCTGTAATAAATTATAAATGAGGCAGATTCTCTGCGCAGCCAATCAGATCATCATCGACTTGACGTTATCGTTAAGAAATTTCGCCAGGCTCACCGCGGGTGGTTTTTTTTTTTTTTTTAATAGAATGTAATCTTTTAAATCTTCCATCGCAGAACACTGCAAGATCAAACGGATCAAACACTCGGAGACGTGCAAGGTCAATTGTCGCAGACAGAATCGGAATTGAACAAGGCTATGGACCGCAATAAAGGTATGGAGCAACAACAGGCGCAATTGAATGATCAAATCAAGGAGCTGAAACAAGAAATTAATAATCTGCGCGCAAACATGACACTTTTGGATCAAGAGAAGGATCGACTATTGGTAAATGATAGTGCAGGAAATTACATCGCTATTTCACAAATGATGATTTATAAAATCGATTATTTCTTTTTTTGCAGATGGCATTGGACGAAAAAACAGAGAAGATTGCTGCATTAGAACGAGAATTGGTATATAAGGACCAAGAAGCAGATGGGATACAACAACAAATTCGCGATTTACAGCATAAAAATGAGTAAGTACATCTGCGTTTATTTACAACATTAATTCTTAGAAAAAAAGTGGCACATGTTTCTCGAGAAACTCTAAGTTTTAAGTCACGAAATCGTAGATAGTATTTACAATGCTTAAGGTATAAAACATAATAAATAAAGCTTCGTTCGATATAAAACGAGATAAAACTAAAAAAATAATTAATCATATAACATTATGTACAAAACTAAATCCAACGTTATTCTTTCGACTGAAATGTTTGAACGCATTCCACACGTTCTTTGCTAGGTAAAAAAATAAATTTATCTCGTGGAATCTGTAATAAATTATAAATGAGGCAGATTCTCTGCGCAGCCAATCAGATCATCATCGACTTGACGTTATCGTTAAGAAATTTCGCCAGGCTCACCGCGGGTGGCTGGCAGCCATTCAGCGAGATCAGACTGTTGCTTTCCAGCTCCTCCAGAGCCTCTCCCGAGTTCTCGACGATCCTCTTGTAACCGGGTCGACATTCGCATCTGGCTTTCGGTCGCGATTTTGCCTCTCGCCATAATCGAGCGTTCCTCGGTATTCTTTGTGCGACTAACCATTCGCCCGCGGTGCACGGGCCTTGCGTGTACAGTTTGTAGCAGGTTTTATTGATCATCACCATACCCGGTGTGCTCTCGCAGTCGTCACTATCGGCTCCCACACATTTGCCAGCGTCCCTCATGATACTGGTACATCCGCACACGCCATTATATCCGATCCCGTCGAGGGACGGCCTCACGTTGTAATCATACAACACTATCTGACCGCTCGGGCACGGTCCTCGTGTGCCGATCTTGTAACATGTCTTCTCCTGAGGAAAGTACAATCTGCCGCGTTTGCACGGCACGGGAACGCAGGTCGACGAGTTGATCAGCATATAACCACTCTCGCAGGGTCCTGTCGTGTGCAATCGATAGCATTGTCCGTTTTTGTACAACACGTGACCCGATTTGCATACACATTTGGCTCGCACAATATCCTCCTGTGTCGATGATCGGGCGTCCATAGTTACCACAAAATGATGTCCTTGTGAACATGGACCGACGCCGCCTGATATATAATTGTCGAAGTTGGAAATTTAGAGAGGTGTTATTGAAAAACTCATAGATTTAAAAATCGATTTCAAAGAAAAAAAAAAAAAAAAAAAACAGGTTTCTAATCCACTTATACAATTTATTATTCCATTAAAAATTGAATATTAATGTCTCACCTAATTGATAGCACATTCCGTTCGGTTCATGGTAGTGAGGTAATTGAGAATGGCAGCCGCATGTGCCACCCGGCAGGAACAGTTCTCCCGATTCCAAGCACGGACCCTTGGTGTAGTGCTCGTAGCAACCGCCGCCGCTACCCAGCCAATGGTATCTGCCCAGTTCGCCGGTCGTCGAGCACGAACAGGTCGCTAGACCGTTCTCGCCCACGACGAGAAGCTCGCCGCGCGGACAAGGACCTCTACTAAGCCGCGGATAGCACTTATTGTCCCTGGGCCAATAGATTTCGCCTCTCTCGTCACAGGGTTCAGGATCGCGACATACTCCCCATCGTCGTTTCGACCTGAGGAGGAGAAGGAGGTTCATCATTTGTGTGTGAGCGCACGATCATCTCCGAATGAGAGATTTAAAGAGAGAGGCTCTCTGTTTTTTTCATTTACCCCAATTTACTAGGCGCCTCGGGCACCGGTGCGAAGAATTGACCCTCGGAGCAGGACGCTCTCGTGAATATAGGATGGCACAGGGCGTCCCTGGGCGATTGCGCGGTTCCCGGGG